GCTTGCCCTGAAGGCTCTAAATGCCCTCAGCCCTAAACACCAACAAGCCCGGAAACCCATGAAAGGCCCCAAAAACCCTAAATCCTAACAGCCGCAAACCGTAAAACCCTGAGCCCTCTAAACCCAATAACATTCAAAAAGCCACCCAAACACTAAGCGTCCTCAAACACTCGGCAGCCTTTCGTCCAAACTTCGCTTTCTTTTCGGGCTGTAGCTTAGTGAGGTTTACTGCTTAGGAATATACATGTATGCATTGGTAGTAGTGGATATACATATATATATACACACATATCTATATATGTATATTGCACACCTTGCAGTTGTTGACTGCATGTGCATATATATATATACACATGTATATGTGTGTGTGCAGAGGCCTACTTAAAAATGATTTTTTAGATCATACCTGCTGCTGATATCATCATCATTACAAATGATCTTGTGAAATGACTTGTTACTGGTAAAAGGTTTAGACCTGGTAGTCATGACACTTCATGTTCGAATCATACCATGCAACCGCGCGAGCCCATCAGAAGCGACCCAGGTGAAGGACCTTTGTGCAACGCAAGGGGCCTTTGCAGCCATCCTGACAGATGGATCTGTGGTCTTCCGGTTGCAAGCTGTCAGTACTTTTGGACAGACAAGCAGCCCTACATCTCTGTAAACCCTAAATCCTAGATGAGCCCTCTACCCCGCCCCCCACCCCGCCTTTTTTTCCACTGCACCCCCCCCTCCACCCCCCCCCCCCCTGCCCCCACCCCCCACCCCCCCGCCCCCCACGCCCCCGCCCCCCACCCCCCCGCCCCCCACCCCCCCGCCCCAACAAAAAAGAAGCTTAAAAAAGAAACTTATAACTTACAACTCAAGCACCCCTCAAAAAAAACAGCTCAAGCGGTGTAGTGACGCGCAGAGTGGCGAGGAAGAAGGGTTGGCCGCATCTTGGTCTTCACTCGCCACGGCCATAGCCCATGCTTTCCCGTACGCTTGCAAGCACCGAAAGCATATCAGATATCATCCGAGCTCCACTCCCATCCACCCTATTGCCACGCGGGGAAAATCTTCTTCCCCACGACGGGGTACCTAGGGCAACCAGCTCATCCTCAAGCCACCTCGGGACTAGCCACCGCAACCTCCAGGCCGAAGCCGTAGAGGACTCCATAGCATAGTACCCCCCCCAACTACAGCAGAACTCCCTGCTACATCCCACCTAGCCTCTAGACTTTCTCCTCTCACCACCTCCCCCTGGTCGAAAGGGGCCGCTGCGCTATGCTGCGCTGGCTCATTGGGATGCCACCTTTCGTCATCCTCCCTGGTCTCCCCCCGGTGACTCCCTCCGAGCCAACGAGCTGAATTTGAAAAACCGAGCCTGAAACCCATCCCTGTTTAACCCTAAACCCTAAACTTATTGCACGTGAATCTGCCTTAGGTCTGCTGGGGAGAGCCCGACTTCGGAGCCGACTGTAGCACGGTGCAGACGCAGCTGCGTGACGTGCCTTGGGACTTGGAACTATGACAACAGCACGATTCATAAGATTTCGAAGGTTTGAGTAGTAACATTTTTCATATTACTCAAAAATTGCAACAAAGAATATGAAGAACTTGACCAATAATAACAACAATCATAAGTTCTAATTATCGTATGGTATGTTGCTTCAGGAAAAATCTGATTGAATTTTGGTGTCGAGGGATGCGGCTTAAAGGCTTTAGGGATTCAGGGGTTAGGGTTCATGGTTGATGTGCAAGACCCCAAAGCACCGCCCGCGTTGCTGAAGAGCCATGCCCATGGCATCCGCAACTAGCCTTCTGCAAAGGAAGCGCAGCGCTCCAGCTTTCCGAACCGTGGCACACAGATCCCGGCAAGGGCCGTCGAACCCCCTTTTCGAAGGCAAAAAAAAGCCCCAACGTTATGACACCCGAGGCCTTACCCTAAACCCCGAATCATACCCCGGCAAGAGAACTTGCAGGAGCCCAAAATCGTTCCTATAACATTATTCCCCTTTATACCCCTTTCAAAAAAAGTATCCCGAAACCCTAAACAAAAAGCAAGAGAGCCCCTAAACCCCTAAACGAAAATTTCTGCCACTGCTGAAGGTGCAGCAGCTTTCTGCGACAGGCTGCGCCTTCGCAGCCATCCTCGGGGACGACTCCGTGGTGGGGGGTAGGGGGAGGAGTTTGGGAAGGTGTTGTAAGTTTAGGGTTTGGGGTTTGGCTTTTTTGGGTTTAGGGTTGGGGTCTTGGGTTGTGTTCATGGGGCCATGGGCATTTTTTTCTTGAGGGTGCTCGGGTGACGTCCTACGCTCAGGGCTTCACCCGCAACTCCAGTAGCCATGGCGGTAGTGAAACGCGGACACCCCAATTTAAGCAAGAGAACCGTCAAACTAATGGGGGCAGGTCACCACATCGTTTCCTGTAGGATGCCAAGCCGGCATCCACTGTCAGGGCTGTCGGCGCTTAACAGGTATTTCGGCACTGAATAGCTCAGGAGGCCCCAACTGCCCTGGTATTTAAGCTTCAAGGTTTTGGGGTTTTATATGATAGGGTTTAGGGATTCACTTCCTTGAAGGTGACTTGGGGCGCTGCTACGCATGGCGGCGTCTCCCGACGCCTCCGAAGCACGGCTGGCAAGTAGCAATCTCCTTTTTAGCGGACACATGCCCTTTTGCGGATTTTGGTGTCCAGGCGTGTTTCTTGGTTGATGGGTTTGGTTTGGCCCACATGGGAGTTTCGCCAAATAAGACGTGCTCTTGCAAGGGGGATTCTACCCCTTTGTTTTAGCACGTACCGATCTCAAATCCCACAGCCTCCCCGCGTCCCAAACCTTAAAGCGTGTCACGAATGCACCCTGATTAGCCCGTCCCATGCCGACTGTACATGTGCAGTATACACACATACATGCCGACTATACATGTGTATACACATACATATGTATCTGCACATCTAGATATATATATATATATATATATATAGAAGATCTCGGGACCCTTCAAGGTTTTAACTAGCGAGCACAGGAACGCAGCTGCGTGACGTGCGGCGGATCACGGCAACGCTCTCTGCCTTCGCAGCGCTGCGAGGGGATGGCACAGTGGCTACTCGCACGATTCAAAAAATTGGGCCACCTCCGCCGTGACCCCTAAACAGCGTTTAGGGCTTATAAGGGTTTAAGGATTTCTTGGGGTTTGGAGTTTTTGCAGTCTACCATACAGGTTTTCACTCCCCGCCTCCCGCCCAAAGCCATTTCAGGTCTAACGTTAGCGACAGTGCCGTATACTCTAGACTCAAAACCCTAAACCCTAAACCCGAAACTCCACCCCCCCATGCCCCTTTATGGAGCACAGGTGACCTGGGGCGACTGCAACGCTGGTGGCAACAGCAACCGGGTCCAGTCGCAGCTCCGCAACGTGCGGCAGATCCTGGGACTCTTTGGAACCCTTACTTCTGTGACTTACTTTAGAGTTTAGGGATGTTTAGGGTTTAGGGTTTAGGGTTTAGGGTTTAGGGCTAGGCTTTGCGTTTTTTTGTTTTTGTATTGTTGGTGCCCAGGAAGAGCACCATCATTCATAACAAGAAAGGGTTTGCTTTTTGTCCTTGCTCACTGAGGCAAAGGACAGATAGCTGTACAGCACGTGTATCTGCCATACATCTCTCCCATGAATTCTTGGGAGCCTCCTGTTAAGAACCTCCCAGAAAACTTGGAGAAGTTCGAGGGGGTCGTGGTGCAGGGCTTTTAGCTTCAAGTTTGGATTCAGAAAGCCGCTCAACAAAGGATTCAAGCAACCGACAAAGCCTTCGCCGCCATCTTGGACAATGGTGCGGTGGTGACATGGGGCCATGCAGACTACGGCGGAGATTGCAGCTCCGTGCAAGACATGCTGAGACAGCGCCTTCCTTAAGCCCTCTCCAATTTCACCGTCCCTCGAACCTCCCCAGAGGGATAGAATGCAGGACCCACGGCATAATCCAGGGGCCGGAACACTCAAAAAACTATGCCCTTCTGGTCCCCATTATGAAAGCACCCCGGTAAACCCTGCAACGCAACCCTAAACCTGTTCTTCAAGCCTAATCCCCCCTTGAGCCTCAATCTGAAAGCACCAAAGGCCCGACATCTTGAGCCCAATGCCTGGTTCTTGGCAACCCTGGGTTTTGTTTGGGGCGGCCCCCAGCAATTTAGGGTTTAGAGTGTAGCGTGATAAGACCCTAGCAAGGTAACCTACATATGGAGCTGCGCACAACTGCAGTTACGACCCCAACCCCGTAAACCCGCGTCCACTTAGCCTTCCAACTACAACAGACCGGGAGCGAGATGAGACGCGGAAAGAGCTTGTGCTGGCCAAGGGGGGAACCTGATGGCTGTTCTGAATTCGTTCATGGGCTTCGTAGTTGGGGAAGTTAGCGGGCAACCTCGATGTAGTAGAAAAGCCTTCCCCCCCCCTCTGCTCCCCCTCCTCTCCAAGAAAGAAGAGGCCCTAACCTTTTTGAGTAGAACAACCCACACATGCAGATACTGGAGGTTCTTGGAGGGTCATGGGTACTTAAGGTCATTATTGTTTCCGACAGCAGTACGGCAACCTGCACTGTAGCCCCACTTGGGGTACTGTCAGCCCCTGGTATAACTTAGCCCTATCTCCTTAAACACCCTTAAACCCTCTAAAGCTCGAATCCCCAAAACCTTAAGCCTTAGATAACCCTCAGATCCTAGTAGACCCTTCAAGTTAGGTATGTGATGGGCATACTACGTACAATAGACCCAGAAGCACCACTTCTACAAACGCCCTAGGCCCCAAGAGCTGACAGCACCAGAACCTAGAATCCTACACCCTAAACTCTTGTTAAGCCCTAAAACCTAGAACCACAAAGCCCTTTTTAAGCCCTAAAATCCTGGCAAAAAAAACCATAAACCCTCAAACCCAAAATCTCAACCCCAAAAAAAACCTTTTTAAGCCCTAGAATCCTGGCTAAACCTTCTAGCCCTAAAACCCAAAATTTCTGCGGTCCTGGGCCAGGTTCGTCGGCAAGCCCTTCCAGGAGGGAGGGCCGCTTGGCAGCTGAGGTTTTAGGGCTTAAAGGGTTTAGGGTAAGTTTAGGGTTTAGGGTTTAGGGTTTAGGGAAGTTTTGTAGGGCTTGGGCCCCAAGAAGTTTTGAACGAATCAGGCTTAGCATGGAGAATTAAGCTCAGCGCATCCTCATACACACTTGCTTCATGCTCACACACATGGCACGGAGGCAGACTGCTCTTGGAGCAGGACTGTTGAAGTCTCTCGCGGGCCTCAAGGGATGAACCTGAGCGGTGTGGCCAAAGCAGATAAGATGCATTCCGAATGCAGACTGCCCAAGCAGTCCGACCTGTCGAACCTGAATAATCCAAAAAGCTATCGAGCAAGCTTGTCGACCACATCTGTGAAAACGGCCGAACTCGTCGCGATCCATGCTTTCAAGAACAGTCGCGGAAGTCGGGTTTGCTGCACCTAATATTATGCAGAGACCATAGGGATGGGTTGATGAACTCGCTTACATGTTGAACGAATGTTTTGGGCGAAGTGTTTGGAACGAAAGTTTTAACCGAAAGTTCTGAACGAAAGATTTGAACACAAGTGTTGAACGACATCGACATGCTTTAACTGAAAGTTTCGAACGAAAGTCTTGAGCGAAAGGTGCTGGCCCCGAACGTTTTGACCGAAACGTGTTCACCGAGGTCTTCTATTTTGGAATTAGGAGCTTGGAGGGCAGGGCCACCGAGTGGTCAGCTGTTTAGACAAGTATCTTGGGAAGTTCAAAATGACACCACATACAATTGGATGTGTTTTGTCTGGGTTTGGGGTTTGGGGCTGCTATCATGTTTGCTTTGGGTTTGGGTTTAGGGCTTGAAGGTATGGGTGAGGATTGGGTTTTGGGTTTAGATCCCAATCTCCTTGAAAAGCCTCTTCTTTGCTTGAAGTGTGCATGGCCTTTTCTCCAAGTGATGGTACTTGTTTGAGTTTCCCTAAGTATGCAGTATAACAACGATCCCACAACCAATGTAGAATATAGTCGCGGAGAGTCTTACGTCTGCACGCCAGGAGCACTCCACGACCCTTCCAAATACTCAAAGACCACCCCAGGATGAACTCCCAGCACTTGCAAAACCAGTCCCGAGATCACTCCTAGGCCCTTGGGACATTCAATCTTTTCCCTCATTGGGTTTAAGAGGATCATATGTAGGAACATATCTCAGAGGGTTTCGAAAGGGCACGGGCACCTTAAATGCGACGACAATTCTGCATGTTACGTGACGAGCTTGCTCACCAGACGCCGGGATGCAAATCCTAAAAAACCCTAATACCCTAGCACCCTAACACCCCAACACCCTAATGCCCTAATACCCTAATACCCTAATACCTGAAGCCCTAAACCCTCCTAACCCTAAGCCCTGCAACATTCCGGAATGCCGCCCAAGATCACAAGATGCACCCAAGTGTGCCGCCAGCCTCGGCAAGCCCCCTAAATGGACTCAAATGGGATTTTGCGAAAATAGGGGACCCCAACATAGATCCCCGAATAGTAGGACCCCCTTTCTAACATGGACCCCCGATAAGGTACCCCCTAATACCGTAAACCTTCGTTAGGTCCATCTGCCGGCACTTCTTAGAGGGCAAGTGCAACTATGGCGATGCCTGTCGCTTTCTGCACACAGGCAGGGACCTGGGGTTCTGGGTTTGAGGTATATCGGGTTCTGGGTTTAAGGTGTATGGGGTTCCTTGGGATGCAACTTGGCTGGGTTTTCAGTCTTGCCCGGTCGATGTCTTCCCAGCCTTCCCCTCGCCCCCATTCCCGCCCTACTAGCTCGTTGTGCTTCAACCGAGAGCGCGTTAAATGTTTAGGGCGTCAGCCTCAGAACTCTAAAGTGACATCCTCAGACCGTAGATTTGTTCGACAGCAAACCCTTTTCGTGGCTGGAAGCGTTCCCATGTAGGGTATCATCTCCCTGAGTGGTAATCCCCCCAAAGTTGCCCTTGAAGAAATATGCCCAGAAGTTCCTGAATTTGCTGGCTATGTTAACTGCTAGGCGAAGGGGCTTCTTATACACACTATGGGACTTCGGGCGAACTTTCAAGGCTGCTTCTTATACACACTATGGGACTTCGGGCGGACTTTCAAGGCTTAGGGTTTGGGATGCAAAGAGACAGCCCTGGGCCCTGCTTTTCCTGCGCATGTTCTGTGTTTCTATGTGCTGACACATATCATGTACTTCTGAACATAAATACATGAACATGGAGAGAGAGAGAGAGACAAGAAAACAAAAAAACAAAAAACGAGCAAACAGTAGAGAATGCTCTTGGCGACCGAGTGCCACAAAGCTCTAAACAGAGGGTTGTAGGAGTTCCGGGGCTTTGGGTTCTCTGTATGTACATGTCTTTAGATTATGGTAAGGGGCTGCATTGTACCTGAAAAAAGGCGTTTGATGTTTAAAACATCAAACGCCTTTTTTAGGCCCCTAAACCGCCCTAAACCTTAACATCGAGGACGGCTTCAGGTGGGCGGCTTCCGATTTAAGAGTCTTTGTGACAGTTTTTGGTGAACGCTGCAATGACCGTTTTTCTACAAGGCTTATACAAACAGTAGGCTACCCACCTGGCACAGCCCTTTCTGCTCAAAAGTACCAGGTGCCCCGCAAGCAGCGCAGCCGCAGTGGCCTGCGGCGAAGGCAAAGATCCGCTGTCATTGGGGTTTTGGTTGGGCTTTGGACTTACAGGGCTTAGAGGGTCAAGGGTTTGGGGTTAAGGGTTTTGGGCTTACAGGGTTTAGGGAAGGGTTCGAGTCTGAGGCTCCAGGATCCCCGGTAGTAATGATCGATCCTTTCTTCCCTGTTCTCTTAAGGTCTGGTTGCCCAAGCCCCATTGCCAAAACCCTGAGTCCCCAAGGAGGTTCCCATTTTCTTCTGAGAGCTTTGGCTCGGAGGTTCATTGGGCGGACTTGAGGTTGAGGTAGGTGTGGCGTAGGGACTACGCAGGGCTTATGTACAGTTTATGTGGGGCTGCTCAGGGGGATAGGATTCCGAATGATAAGCTAGCCCTTACAGCCTAAAGCCGAAGCCCCAATTAGAAGGCTATAAGTAGCCTTCACAGGCTTGCTCAGGTCTTTAGCAAAAGGTCCAGGTTGTTGGGGTCCCAAATCTTGAGGTCTACAGTAGGTTTCAGTTTTGTGGGTGTTCTGAGAACCTACGCCCTAAATTCAAAACCCTAGACCCGGGTTCAAGAGGGCGCTAGGCCCCAAGCAATCCTCTCTTGGCCCAGGTTCCGGAGACGTACGGTCCAGTGAGGCCTGGGCATCAGCATTGCCAAGGCTTCATGTTTAAGACCCCCAATATTGGAGATTCCCATGAGTATATCGAGAGAATTGCAGCGAACCCGAAGACCTAAACTCTAAACCCTAAGCGCAACATGTTTCTGACTCCGAAAATGTAGGCCCTAAACCCTCATCCCCAACGCCTGTTTGCGCAAAGCCATGGAGGACCGCGAGATCAGTGCCAATAGTTTCGCCCATACTCGTGACGACCTCAGTGCTTCCGCAAAACTTCGCCAGCCCTGACACGAAACCCTCAACCCTTCTCGGAGGTTCATGGTGGGTACTTCCAAGTGGGGACAGACGTAACGGGAAGCAGCTTCCCAAGCATATAGTGTTTTGTCGCTATCCTATGTAGCGTACCTTCAGAGAAATCCAATACCTGACAATCAAGGCATGCATGCTCCATCATTAGGGCACACGTCCTTCTAAAGGGCACGCAGTGGTCGTTCTAGGTTGGACTAAGACCCACTGAACCCTAAGAGCCCTAAACCCCAAGAGCCCTAAGAACCCTAGACTCTAAGGACTCTACAAACCCCAAACCCTAAGAACACTAAGGACCCTAAACCCTAAGAACCCTAAACCCTAATCCCTGAGGAATCACGGGTTTGCCGGCACTTCCTGGCAGGGAAGTGGGCCCCTCAGGGAAGCGCCGGTGCGCTCATGCCTTGGGCTTTCGAGACGTTGGAGGGTTGTCGGGGGGTTTGTGGCTTGAGGGCTTTTAGGGGTTTTGCGGCTTAGGGGCGTTTAAGTGGGTGTGTGGCTTTAGGGTCTAGGGGCAGGCCGGGAAGCTCGAAATCCTAAAGCCTCGTGCCGTGCCCTCCCCCAACCTAGACCACCCTTTTGGCCGAGAGTGTTTTCGGGGTGTGCGCCTCTTCCGGTCTTTGATGCGGTTGGTTGATGTGTGTTGGGCGTGTTGTTTCAGCTGGTGTGTCCTGGTGTGGGGCTGGGGGGCACAAGGGCAAGCATCATCATCAGCATCAGCATCAGCTGGACATCAAGGGGTGGGGGGTTGGGGTTTCGGGTTTTAGGCCTTAGGGCTTTAGTAGGGTTTAGTGCTTGGGTTTTGTTTGGATTCATACAATAAAAAGTTTCATGCCGGGCCTGGCGGTTTGGAGTCTGTTCTCTCACTTCTTTCCGACATGTGAAGCCAGGAAGCCAAAACCAAAGCACATGTGCAAAAAGCCCAGCAACCCTAATCCCTCCATACACCCCCGAAACCCTACACCCTTCAGGAACCTGCCCTAAACCCTAAACCCTGTAAAACCCTACAAAACCCTGTAAAACCCCAAACCCTATAAACCCTAAACCCTAAGAGGCCCAAAAAAAGTAACACCCCCCCAATGAGCCGTAGGTGCACTTATGGGGATCAGTGCACCTTCCTGCACCCTGGCAGCCCAGTCATCAAGGACCTTTGTGGCGGAGTGTGGAGCATTCAGGCTTTTTGAGGTTTAGGGTTCATTCAGGAATAAAAGGGTTTAGGGTTGAGGTTCTAAATCATCTTAAATCTTGATCCAAATCCGAAAGTCACAGCGAAGGCAGCCATGTTTTGCGTGCCTTTGCACGGCCGTGGGGCTGACATTTTGATTCCGCATGGTTTTGAAGGGGTAGACGCATCTGAGATTTGTAACCCTTCCTGACCCGCCTTGGCTGGGGTCGCCTTGGCAGACGGCGACATGCCGAATTAAGCCCCAAGTTCCAAAGGTTCGGTTAAAGGGTTTCGGGTTTAGAAATCAACGTGAACACCGGAAATCCCCAACCTGCCCTTGCATGGCACAAAACTTTCAAAGCCCTCAGCTGCCCCAACACCAGCAAGCCCGAGTGCGTAGTGTCACCAGCCTCACCCGCTCGGTACCCATAGCAGGGTAGCCAGACGTTTCTTTCACTCTGGCAGCAGGCCGCATTCATCTTATCCCACACTGCGTGACAATCACCCCCCCCCCCTCTCTTTCTTTCTCTCTCTGTCTCTCTCTCTCTCTCTCTCTCTCTCTCTCTCTCTCTCTCTCTCTCTCTCTCCCCCCCCCCCCAGAAAATTCCTTAGAGGAACATTCTAGGATTTGTTGTTTTGGGGCTTTGTGGGTTTGGTGAAGGAGGCGGTGACGCCGCCTTGGAAGTCGCCGCAAGGCTTGTGGCGTATGCTCTGAGCAGGTTGCACGGTAGGTTTAGGGTTGGGATGTTCCCCCTTCTACTAGCAGTCCCAACGTACCTCTGTTGTAATCCCTACTGTATAAGGGGGAACATCCCAAGTTTGGGCTTGTTGAAGGTTTCGAGGTTTCGTAGCGACCTCGAGAGCTAAGAGACTTCGGCTCTGCGGAGCTAGGGGGCTGGGGGGGCTTTAGCAAGAGGAGGAAGAGAATTCCCGAAACCCCCAAACCCAAAACGCCTTCCAAAGCCTCAAAGGCAAGGCTTTCGGAAGTTCGGGCTCAAGGGAAAAATGAACCGTTCGGGAACATTCGGGGATTGGGTCTCCGGAAACACTCAAAACCCTGAACCTATAGTCACTTCAGGACTCAGGAATGTTTTGTTCCTGTTTAGCTAAAACCCAGGGAAAGACTGAACAGGTCATGTCTATTACGGTGCTACAGGGAGGATCGTTGTAGGCGTAGAATGTAGGGGGGCTTATGGGCTGTTGGAGTTCGATTTAACGGTGTTTATAGGAATCTGGCCAAGTCGAGGCCGTCTTTTTTTCTATGCAACGAAAAAGCAAATCATGAAAGATCACAATGTGAGTGCCTGCCTGCCTTGCGACCTCGACTTCACAGCCTTATCGCCTTCATGGCCTTCATGTTGGACCACTTGCCGGCTTGGCGGTCGCCGCGGAATCGCTGACCCCGGATGCATATATCAGACCGCCCCATACCAACATCAGCAGATACACGTGTTCTCCACCGTTGTATTGTAGATCAGGCAGAAGGTGGGTCCTGCCCTGCGTGGATCATCTCAAAGGTTGCGAGGGAGAAGGCCTCGTGGCATGTCACGGGTCTTTGGGCCATGCCTGTATCAGCACAGAACTTTTCATCAGGGCCGTAACCCCTAAACAGCCCGAAGTTGGCCCTAAGCCCTAAACACCCACATCAAAATGTATCTCACCTATGGGTTTCGACTTGACAAAGGAATACCACATCCAAAAGCTAAGCCATAAAGGTCTGGGAAGCTCAGGGTCACCAGAAACCTCAGCACATGCCGACACATCATTTTCTGAATTCGCAAAGTTACTAGTCTAAACAAGCCGACGGCGCACAAAGCCCCTTCTCTCACAGAGACTCCCGAAGCCGAGCTCAAGGAAAGAAATTCAACATGCGCGAGAACTAAAGCGGCTCCGGTGAGGGAGGTTCTTGGAGGTCTCGAAGTCCGGACAAGGCTCCCACCCAACCATTGGCGAGAGACAAAAGGCCCCGAAAAGCCAAAAGCCAGGAGGCACCGAGCAGAAGCTTTCGGTCAAAATTGCTTCGGACTCAAAACCTCTACAGGTTTGGGTCAGAGCTTAAGATGCCGGCCTTGGAGCAAGCCTTGAGCTAAGGGTTTCAGGGCCCCGCCTTCTATGAGCCCTTGTGGAAATCCCGATGAAGCTCTCGGACTCTTTTCACTTCTGGAAGGTCTCTTGGCTCCCGGGCAGCCGAGGCTCAACCCGGCAGGGCTTCCAGGGCTTCCATCGGCTTCCATCGGCTTCCATCGGGCTCAGGCTTAGGGTTTCGGGTTCTGGGGTTCTAGGGTTTGGCTTGAGTTGATGATAGGGCTTGGGTCCCATGAAGCCTTGATGGACAGCTGTTGTTGGAACTTGGGCTCTCAGAGTCTCACGTTTCATTTCGGGGGGGTTGCGGCTTTAGGGTTCAGGATGCAGTTCAGCGTTTCGGGGTTTTGGGTTTAGGGACTCAGAGTTTCGGCTTGGGGGTCTCTAGGGCTTTGGGCGAAGAGGGCTTGCCATGCCAGGCAAATTTGCCGGCACTTTCTCGCCGGCCGCTGCAACTACGGCAGCAGTTGCAGCTTCAGTCACGACATCGGCCGCGCAGCCGCATAAGTTCGATTCATGCAGGAGTTGTGGGTTCATCTTTCATGGGTACCCTGAATTGGGGCATGTTTTCATATCAAACAATCAGGTTCGGGGTCTGAATAATTGTTGCCCTTTTCTGTAACCCTGAACCCTGAAAACTGAGCTTAAACCCGAAACCCTAAACATTCCTGGCTGGGCTACGCAGCTTGAAGATCCTTCGAGTCTCGTAGAACCTAAGGCATAGTAGGGCTTGAAGGGGTTCGGGTTTGGGTGCAGGGTTTGTAGTAGGGTTTGGGGGCTTAGGGGTTCAGCAATGGCACTCTTAGGATGAAGGTTTAGGATAGGAGTTCCCGAATCAGGTAAGCGTTGCAACGAACTAAGTTGAACCTAGCTTATGAGCACCTGAACTTTGTTCTCCTTCAAACTGACTGCATACCGTAAACTCCTAGCTTATGAGCACCTGAACTTTGTTCTCCTTCAAACTGACTGCATACCGTAAACTCGTCTATGAGGCTTGCGTATACAGGCTTGCACAGGACCCCGAACCCCAAGACCTCAAATCCCACGTAGGCCAAGACCTCAAATCCCACGTAGGGATCGGGGTTGCTGCGCAGTGGGCCACATCCCCCAGCTAAGGCACTGGAGCAGCTGCGTAAGGACTGATGTTCCCTAAGCTGGAGCCCTTAGCCCTAAACCTGGAAGACCTACCTAGCGATTTAGCTGCCCTGAGGTCTAGAGGTAACGTTGAAGGGTGTTCAGGTTTCGGGGATTTAGGGTGTTCTGTTTGGCTTATCAACGGATATCCCCATATAGTTCGTAGTTTTGGTTGTAAATCTTGGGGGTCCCTCTTTGGGAGGAGCTTTGGGGCCCTATGAGAGGGCTTGGGGCAGGATGTATTGTCGAGCCGCTCCTGTTGCAGATGCCAGCAAACAGGATCAACACACCATGTATACACATGTGTACCTTATATATATATATATATATGGTACCCCCCCATGGATCCACACTTTTCTTCTGCTTTTTTATCTTTTTCCTCTGGTGTTGTATGTTTCATTCTTGTGTTGAATGTTAAATCTGTGCGTTACCAGTATTGAAACCCTTGTCGAAATATTGAGTTTCAATATGGGTTGCCATTAGCCACTATTGAAAGCCTTATTGAAGTTTTGAATTTCAATAAGGGTTGTCATTTTGAAGCCCTTATTGAAATATTGAGTTTCAGTAAAGGCGGAACTAAGAACTAAGAACTAAGAACTAAGACTATCAGGGACTCCTGGTCTTAGAGTTCTTAGTTCTTCGTATCGCCCTTCTTGAATTTCAATATTTTAACAAGGGTTTCAATAAGGAGTATTGTTGAAATCCTTTGTCGGTTAAGGGATCAGGGTTTTGAAAGAGAAGGCCCGAAACTCAACAACCCTAAGCCTTTAATGGTACATAGGGTTTCAAGATGCAGCAAGTAGACTTAAATCCTGAATCGTAACCCTTTAAACCCCATAGTGAAGGTTTAAAGCTTTGGGTTTAAGGTTTAGGCATTGAAAACAAAGCCGGCAAGCAAATCTACACCCTTAACTTTAAAGCCTTGGGACTAAGGGGGTTAAGGTTTGAAGACTAAGGGTTTCAGATTGAAGAAATCAAACCTAAGGCCATACAATTTAAATAGGCATTTACACGTTGACCCGAAATCCTTTAGGTTCAGAACCCGAAAAACCCGCAGGGCTCGAAAACCTATAGGCGCTGAAGATATACTTGTCCAGACCTGCGGTTGTGTAAATCATTTAGCACTCTAGGGCTGCGCTAATTGTTTAGGGCATTTCAGGGTGTATCTCTAAAACCCTCACGGGTTAGCCTTCTAGGGTGTGGATCCTATAGGGTAAAAGGTCTTGGGTTTAAGATTTAAGCTTTGTCTGTAGAATTAGAATTTTACGACCAGGCTTGGGGCATAAACTCGCAAACCTTAATAGGGTTATTATACCCATATTTGTAGGACTTGCCTTTTGTGGGAATGAAAAGAGAACATAATATAAAATATTCCCATCATATATATATATATATATACGTATGTCCATAATATATTTTGGATATATGTATTATGAATTAAATATAGACGGTTTTTTAATATGAAATTCAAAAAGGGAAAAAGGATTTAGATTTATTGTATTTTGGACGATATTTCGTATTTATTCTCGCACGGACATAATAAAGGAAAAAAATGTTTTAGAAATATTTTCTTGTATTTAGGATTTAGGATTTAGGGTTTAATTCTAAATTATTGTTTAATTTTTTTTTAGAATTATTGTTATCTTATAATTCGTATAGAGAGATGTTGGATGGTATATCTCGCCATGGATATAATTATACAATCTTATTTTCTTACATATGACACACATCAAGAATTTGCCCTCACGAAGGCAAGCGAAATGGAAGCTTAGAAATAAGTGCGAGCGGCATGTGCGCCCAAAAGCGTTAATTAGATAAAAGAAGATCCGAATTCAGATATCATTGAATTACGATATTCAATCCGAGAGGCTTCTGTTCTCTTGACTTCTACTCCCATATGCTCTAATTAGTCCAACTTCATGATTCGATCTAAGATCGAGAAAGAGAGAGGAGATTTACGCTCCGATTATAATACAAAAGAGAATACCGGATGTCAGAAGAAAACAAAAGGACCCAAGAGCAAACGATTATAGGACTTGCAGCCAATTGAAAAGCCCGCCACCACCCCGAATTAAGCCCCAGGTCCCGCGATCGCAAGAAAAACAACGGAGAAATCATCGGCATCCACACTTCAGAAAACTTGTACAAATGGGGATTAACATACCATCACGATGGGCGGCAACGCACCACTGACGGCAGCAAACGCCCGCATTTGGATCACCTCAAAAGGAGAGATAACCTGGCTCCAGATGTTCGAGATGACTTACCCACGACATTCGTGAATGAATCTCCTAATGTGTCCCTCCGTGTCGCCCTCTGCGAATTGGGCAGTCCGGCAACGTTCAAGAATATGGGATAGGCCACGTTGGATATCGATCGAGATCCGTCCTTTCAAGAAGATTTCGTTGACCCATCAGCTCTATTCCAGACTTTGTCGCATTCTTGACAGAAACTTTTCAAAAGTTGATGGGCTCCGAACTCGCATCCTCCCATAGTTTCGAAAACGATGGGTTCGAAGCCTATCTGTTGTGTTTGACACGCTTCCTGGGTGCCCCGATCTTGACGTTTCTGCTCTGCATAAAAACGCGCGGCTGCCCTTATTTCCGCAACGCCCCTCCCGATTGAGGAGAGCGAGAAGGGGGAGACCAAGACAAAATCAAGAGCGAGCTATGAATACCGACGCCATTGATTTTGACGAAGAAGAGGGGTACTCATGAGGAGAAGTCCGCCGGTCGACGTTCGGAATCGTGAGGAAGCAAATTTCCGGGTTCGAGTTTGGGTCGCATTCCGGCCTGGTGGGCCGTGCGGAAGATCGTGTCTCGAAGAGTATAGTACATTCGAGTTCTCATATCTCCAGCCATGCAAGTCGTACAATGGCGACCGAGAAGATCGAGGGCTTGGGGGCAAAAGGGACACATGTTCGCTTTTTCGAGAACCTCGAGACCAAGTCGCAAAGAGATAGAAACAACGATTGCAACATTGGACAGAAGGGTGTCGAAACAAGAAGTCGGGACGACGTTCAACCAACCGTCGGCCCAGGGCGTCCTACAAGCTTGGAATCTAGCTACTTCTCCTGCAGGGCTTGGAGGAGGTAAGGGCCTGATTTCTCAATAGCGGCTTGGTTGAGATCTCGCTGCTTGAGAACATTGGGGCCATCTCTTAGGATGGAAGTCGGGAGTTGTTGTCTCACGGATCGGGTAGCTGACTCCTCGATGGGATCGCCCAACATTCCTCGAACTTGTTCTCTGGTTGACCGGCATGAAGAAACCATGGCAATGTCGGCTCGAGAAATGAAACCGCCCTGAATAGCGATCTGGTCGATCGTCAGACTTAGTCCACCGGCCTTCGTCGACACTTGGATCCATTGTCTGTCGGTCAACTGTCTGCCTATATTGAAGAGCAACACATATGCGTTCATTATGGGCCTCGAGCAATGACTGAAGATGGGAACGATTGATCGTACGACTACAATAAGACAACTTCGGGAAGCTTATGCATTTCTGCAACAAATACAAGGCCACGTATTTGTGGGGCAACTGTTCTATAGCCGTCACAGCCTCGTCGATCTCGGCGATTTTGAGGCGGTTCCATTCTGCGTAAAAGTCTTCCCGACCACTAATGGGAACCTGAAGCATCTGAATATCGATTCCCTTCACGATTCGAACTCCGAGAGCCTGAAAGGGTCGAAGGTCAGCATGGAAAGCTTCCCCTGAGAGGAGATAAAGAGTAGTTTCGCCTATGTCAAAGTGAAGTCCATATTTCTCGGCGAGCGCAAGTTCCTGCTCGAAAATCGCCCATATTGAAGCAACAGCCCCCCCACAAAAACCATCGTCCGCGAATTCAGGGTCGAAACAAGTATGACTTCCCCTAGCATTACCACAGGCTTCTTCATACATTCGTTTTCTGGCCAAACAGAAAAGAGACCCCATAAGGGGGCAGCCTTGCTGTCCGCGAGCGTATTACATCAATCGACCATGGCTCACGAGATGATTAGGGACCCCATAGCAGAATTCGGCGAACTTACTAGAGGCCGTAGCGTACTGATAACATTCGTCCAAGAACATGTGAGTGCGGACGGAGTTGTAGGCGTTTGAGATGTCTCTTTGCAGAAGAACATAGTCGGTTTTGTGGCTGTTAGCACGAATCCATGCGCGAGCGGCGTGGATCATTGCCTCGGCCCCCGAACGGATTCCCACTGCAACTTGTTGGGGAGCAAGACGATTCTGGATACTTTCTTTGTCGAGAAGGAAAGTTGTCTTGAATACCAATTTACGCCAAACTGTCCCCATGACGATAGGACGAGCGTCCTGGTCGAGCGGGGCGGCTCGCCCATGAGCGTCTCTTTTGCTTATGCCCATGAGGGTCCCCCCCCCCAATCCAAGTACGGAGCGCTATTGGCGCATGTCCTTCCGCAAGCAGTTGCACGAAATCCCGGACTAACTCCACGAAAGAATCTACATCCCCTGTCTCGCCACATAGAAGCCGTAAGAAATCCGCGCGCAATCCATCTGGACTTGGGCCTTTACCAACCTGGAAAGACTGGAGGGCCTTGAGGAGGAGCGGAGCAGGTATTTCGGGCGTGTTTCCGGGAACAAGAGCGGGGCTCCTAGGAGGTATGCTTGGGGCGGGGAATTTAGCCGCCAGCTTAGCTTACACAGTAGGAGTGTCATGCGCGAGCCCCGGCGAAAGCAAGCGTTGAAGGGCCTGACCGGCTCGACCAATCATCACGAGGCATTCGACATTACGATGCAGATCGCGCATGGCAGGAGAAGCAACTTCTTTAGGGGCTCGGGGGCACTTCTTGGCTTGAAGGGCATCTTTCCAAAGTGTAGCACGCTCACCCAATTTCCATCTAAGGAGTAAGGCCCGTGAAAAATTGAGGGATTGCCGCGGTTTCTGCCCCTTACCAAATTGTCTACAGATAGTTTTCGGAAACATGAGGAGTTCCGTCCATGCCCTGCGACAAGCCTGTTTAGCCTCGGAGTCAGCAGAATTCGTTTCC